GCAAAAAAAGTTAAAATTTTTTGCAATAAATCAATGTCTCAAGCATCGGAAGCGTCATTTTTGCAAAAAAAAAATTAGAATTTTTTGCAACAAATGAATGCTTCAAGCTTCAGAGGCAAAAATTTTAATATTTTGCATAAAATGAACAACACCAAAATGGATTGTTCTTTTTTGCAAAAACCATATATTTTTTTACAATAAATGAATGCCTTAAGCATCGGAAGCTTCACTTTTGCAAAAAAATTTTAATATTTTATATAAAATGAACAACATCGAAGTGGATTGTTCATTTTTGTAAAAACCATATATTTTTTGTAATAAATGAATGTCTCAAGCATCAGAGGCGTCATTTTGCAAAAAAAATTAAAATTTTTTGCAATAAATGAATGCCTCAAGCATAGGAGGCGTTATTTTTGCAAAAAAAAGTTTAATGTTTTGCATAAAATTAATAATACCGAAGTGGATTGTTCATTTTTACAAAAAAATTATATATTTTTTTTTGAATAAATGAATGTCTTAAGCATCGGAGGCGTCATTTTTGCAAAAAAGTTAAAATTTTTTGCTATAAATCAATGTCTCAAGCAACGGAAGCGTCATTTTTGCAAAAAAAAAATTAATATTTTTTGCAACAAATGAATGCTTCAAGCTTCAAAGGCAAAAATTTTAATATTTTGCATAAAATGAACAACACCAAAGTGGATTGTTCATTTTTGCAAAAACCATATATTTTTTTGCAATAAATGAATGCTTCAAGCATCGGAAGCTCCATTTTTGCAAAAAAATTTTAATATTTTACATAAAATGAATAACACCGAAGTGGATTGTTCATTTTTGCAAAAACCATATATTTTTTGTAATAAATGAATGTCTCAAGCATCAGAGGCGTCATTTTTGCAAAAAAAATTAAAATTTTTTGCAATAAATGAATGTCTCAAGAATAGGAGGCATTATTTTTGCAAAAAAAATTTAATATTTTGCATAAAATGAATAAAACCGAAGTGGATTGTTCATTTTTACAAAAATATATATATTTTTTTTAAATAAATAAATGTCTCAAGCATTGGAGGCGTCATTTTTGCAAAAAAAGTTAAAAATTTTTGCAATAAATCAATGTCTCAAGCATCGGAAGCGTCATTTTTGCAAAAAAAAAAAATTAGAATTTTTTGCAACAAATGAATGCTTCAAGCTTCAGAGAAAAATTTTAATATTTTGCATAAAATGAATAACACCAAAATGGATTGTTCTTTTTGGGTTACACAAACATTACGAGAAATAAATAAAAGAATAATTTTGTTAAAGAAAGTGTTTTTATTAAAATATTATAACGTTATAAGTGATTGCACAATCATCAATACTAATTCTTCGCATTACATTACTCCTAGATTAATTACTTCTCTAGATCGCCCCCCTTTTAATAATTCCAACTTGTCCTATTTATACATTTTGAATTGATCTAAAATTATAGATATATTAGATAATTATTACATAAGGATTGCCTTTAATTATCTAATCATTGCACAATTATTACTACATATTTCATTGCATAGTTAATACATCATATCTACATAAGAATACTAATTTCATAACTATGATTTCATATCTTTTCATAATTACTACATTTACTCCTGATTTTTAGATGTGGTATATCGTATCACGTAATACTAATTTCATTGCTCAACATTTCAATTTATGATTACATTTCTATTATGAGATCGTTTCAGCAATTATGACGAATATTAATCATGCTTTTTGTATCACATTTCTGATCATGTGATTTGCTGTACCTCATTTTCACTTGGGTAACAGTATAAAAAGAGGAGTAAACTTTTCATTCCCAGTTGCATTACAAGTAAGTAGGATAGTTACATAATCCTTTGATTGTTTAGTTTCAGATACTTGGCTATTTGATATTATGTGATTAGGTTTCATCTTCTAAAATAAACCCATTTTATCGTAATTAAAGACGTTATTAGGGTCATAATTCTTAAGAATACTACGAATTTCATTATGCATTACATCAAGATCATCAAGTGATACACTTGCAGCTTCACTATGTATATTATATTATCGTAAGTTATGACATTTCTTGAAATTATCTACCTATTCATTGGAACCTTTAAATTTATCCAAAAGCAAATCCTGTATTCCATGATCTATTAACCCAATTTACAACAGTTTCATAGGATGGCCTTTTGATTCTACTAGCAGGTGTTAATTCCCTTAAAGATTCAGACATCCATTCATTGTAATTTTTTTGCATCTATAAAAAATAAACTAGAA